ATGCAAAGGTCTGTTTTCTTAATAAATTATTGAGATATTAGCAGTTTTATGATGGACGAATTTTTATTTAAGTTTGTATAAAGGGTTTACGGAAAGAGTTTTTTTTTTTTTTTTTTTTTCATACTGTTATTATTTGCTGATCTTTGTAATTTATAATATGAATACTAATAAAGTTCTTATTCCTGAAAAAGGAAATACTTTTTTTACTTTTGGTGAAGCTCGCTTTTATAAAAAATTATACAGCACAAACCAATATTGTTATAATTTTGGGAAAGACAACCAGAAATTCGGAAGGTAATAATTATAGACAGGCATATTTCATTTGTGAAAAACAGGAAAGTTATAATAGAAAAAAAGAAGTATATACTACTAAGTGAAAAGGGTTGTTAGTTTATTATCAGAATAAATTATCATAAACGTTCGAAGAAATTAGCTATAATGAAATTAGCTTGGAGCATAATCATGATATTTATCCCGATGCTAGAAGGTTTAATATCAATATGCGTAAACTGAATCAGAATAAGCTAGGCATGATTGAAGATCTTCACTATAATGGACTTTGAACAAAAGATGTTTATACTGTTTTAGCATCTGTGAGCTCAAAGTATGTATATAAACATAACATTTATAATGCTGTTGGTCATCAATGTCAGCAAAAATTGCAAGGGTTAAACGAAATTGAGATGCTGCTAAGAATTTTAGAAAATGATGAAACCATTATAGCAAGTATGGCTACTAAACCTGCATATAACAATGAGCATGATCAAGATGGATCATTTATCCAAGCAATCTTCTGGGCTCATCGAAATGTATTTTCTGAGTTTGTAGTAGCAAAAGATATGTTAATTGTTGATGCAATGTATAAAACCAACAGGTTGTATTTTTTTTTTTTTTTTTGAGAATACTCAGGTAAAATTGGCGTGATTACTTGGTTAGAAATTGTTGATATAACTGGAGTTTTATGTATATTATAACAAGCTGTTTAAGTAATTAATCTAATAATTTAAGTACAGAAGTAATGATTTTTATTATTAAATGCAATTATTAACTTCTCGGTCTTAGATCAATATAGAGTTCGCCAGAGCGATCACCAAAAGTACAGACACATGATAAGACGCCAAGCCATTGCATAATTTTTTAGAAAATTGTTAAATCGTTTAGCTTTTATATGCAGCTTAATTACTATAAAAGTTTCTTAAAATATGTAACAAAGCAATTTACTGATTATTAAGATATTGCTGTGACAATAATTCAGATAATGTGACCATACTTTTGGTGGTCGCCCTGGCGAACTTGATCAATATATATGCATTATTTAATGCTTGTTTATTATTTTATACATGGCATTATTTCTTTTTTTTTTTTAC